TCATTGAACCATGACCAAATTCGAACTTGACCTGTATTTTCTCATGACATATCCATATGCCAAATTTGAGTTGAATGTGTGCAAACGTTACTAAGATAATGAACGGAAACTGATGATGACGGAATGACGGAAACAGGGTAACACTATATGCCCCTGCCATTATATGGCGGGGCATAACAAAAAAAATTAACATATCTACGAGAGTATCTGGATAATTCGAGAGCGTAGGTTATATTAGGTCTACCGTTCATATGTTCATTTACTAGAGTTTAGTATTGTATTTCAATACGTAAGCATATATAAAACAACAAAGTTTCACAGGAATATCAAGCAGGGGTTAATTTTCAACCTGAAAAAATGATCAATAATTGACTCATGGGGGTCAAAATTTAATGTTATTCGGGCTTATCCTAACAAAAGTCAGTCACACATTAACAAAGTCCAATACTTTAATTAATACTCAAGCAACTTGCAATTTCTAGCAGGTATTATGGTACATGAATGTCCCTTTTTTTTATCTTCTCAATGTTATCAAGAATACTAACCTAATACAACAATTCGGTAGCGGCGCATTTTAATACAAACCGACCGTGTTTTTTTTTTTTTTTTTTTTTTTTTTTTTTTTTTTTTTTTTTGTTTTGGTTTTGTTTTGTTGTTCTTTTTTTGCAATATACATTATAGAAACATAAAAACATTAAATACAGGTAATACAAAAATGTATTTATTAAGTCGTTATATGAAAATATGATATTTTAAAAACATTTAATTGAAAAAATATTTTATTAGTGAAAAAAAAAATATGTGGGCGTGGTAAAGCACATGTATGCTATCCAAGCCACGCACCGACTGCCCGTGGTACATGTATACAAATTCTGACCCGGATATACCTGATGCGTACCCCGTTTCGCATAGTAATTAAAGATTGAGCGATGCTGGGTAACAGCGTAATTATCCGGGTCAGCATTTGTACACATGTACAAGTCGGGAAAGTTAGTGCAAACACGGATTTAAATATTCTATGAATATGACAATCTTGACAATCTCAACAATATTTTGCACTAAAAAATGAATAAATTTATTTCACGTGTTGAGCGAATTGTAAAGCCCGTAATATAACCCGTAAAACAATTGTGCTTCAATAAATTTGACTAAATGTCCCAATAAATCTTAAATAAAGTACCTGCTTTTTACATAAAAATGTAAATTTACCGCGGATTTCGTAAAGTTAATTTTTTAATTGTCGTTGCGGACAGATACGCTGTATCTTTAGACAATAAAGTAGATATTTGTATTGAACAAGTATTTTTCTTCAAAATATACTTTAAGTTTCCAAAATCGGATTATAAATGGAAAAGATATATGGTATTTTGTAAAGTAGGTATCCGTTGCTAATGGGCATTTAGTCATTTACGGTAATTATTGATTGATGTACCTTTATCTGGTACGCGACAAAGATATTTTATCATTTTTTATTGTGTGTGTTGAGTTTATTTACCCTCGCCACCGGTTAAAAACCACATGGGCGAGCATCATTTTTTATCATTTTATCATTTATTTTAAGCATTTATCCACGCCCGGCAAACTGTCGCTCCACTTCAAAATTGTGGTGTACGGTAAAACGAGCGTACGGCATTTCCGAGATAAAGCGGAAGGCCGATTTAAACGCCTAATTGTAAGTATTGTTTATGTTTTTGTCTTGTTATTCATTTAAGTTGTATTTTTTTGAAAAACGGAAAATGTGGTTCCGTGTAGGATTGATTTAGGCTTTCAATTATCTAAGCTGTTACAAAAAGAAAATTATATTAAGCCCGGGAGAACTTTTCTTCCTGACGAAGCGAACGATGATTTGTAGAATATTGAACTTCCCAACCATAGAAATGCCATACCTTTCGGATTTCTTGAAAAAGTGTATTAGTACATTTTTGACCCGTAATATTAAAGAACTTGTCCTTCGTGCAAAATAAATTACTCCTGAAGGATTTCTTAAATTTGTAAACCGATATTTTTCGAAAGTAGTGGAGCGAAAGGGCAAGAGATGGAGCAAAAGGTTCGATGTTGAGCGCAAGGCGATATTAATTTGATATATTAGGAGGAGCGTAGTCTATGATTTTTTACATATAAAAGCTATAGAAGTTAAAATAGACGTAATCAAGTGTTCAGACCGATATATATACATTTTGAAAACAGTTAATAAAGTGTGATATCCTATCAACGACTATAGCGTAATAGATGTAATCGCAAAGGTGTCACCTATGGCTTCCGTGTAGATTCCTTTATTTATGTTCGAATTTTGGATGAGGCCCGACCACCATTGAATCATACACATGTATGCATGGCATAATACAGGATGCCATCATTCGAGATCAATCATGATTTTTGACACGGTTATGTACATTTAAAAACGTGTGTCCGTGCAAATGCGACAAAGTTCTACCGCGAACAAATGTTTCCGAGCAGGTACGTGTAACTCTATTGTTTACGACAAAATGTTATGTTTTTCGAAAAGTTAGATATTCAAGGTGCAGAACAGAAACTAACTTATGCAATGCATGGAACACATTAAATTAAATGGATCACTACTACAAAGTTCAGTTCACAATGACTTTCTGTAATTAATAGCTCTAACGTACCTGTTCTGAGCAAAACACAAATAAGTCACGTTTTCATGAATTTGTAAGGTGGGGAATCGCTATGAAACGTTAACAAGGTGTCAGTCGTTATAAGGATATAACACGTGTTCCAGTTATGTTTCAAGATACTTCCTCCCTTATTTAGCATTGTTGTTTAGTTTATTATTTTCCTCTCAAAGTGAGGCAGAACTCAGTCGGTGTACGGACTAAAATTATCAATAATACATGTATAATAGACCAAGTTATAGTAAAAATTTATATTTACACTTTCAGACGAAAATATTAAACTAAGGTTCGAGTCCCGGTCAGGCCGCACATTTTTCTCACCCTGTGACAGTAGTGATAACCGGATTAACAAAAATGCGATAGGAGGAGTTATTACTTTGAAATTAGGGCAGCGTGACACTAATTGGCCGGGGCAGCGTGGTAAATATTTAAAAAGAGCTGGGCAGCGCCCCATTATTCGTCGCCAGATACAACACTATAATATATATAACATATAAATTATTACATGTTTTTCAAAGTTTGACTAATATTATTCAAACACATGAAACATATGAAGTTCTAATTACATTTGTGAAATTTAGCAGTATTTAGCCTATTACTCCCACAGGTGCTAGTGGCATTGATTTGACCTAATTAAAATGTGTTTGACCTTGTTAAAAAAAAACAAAAAAAACCTAAAATGTGTTTGACTTTGTTATTTATACAAAAAAATATCAATATATTAAAAAAAAAAAAAAATTTAAAATTTTTTTTTTTCACTGTTATATTATTATTGACAAGGTATGCAACATTCAGGTACGAAAATTATGGGTACGCCGGTTATCTGTGTTAAAATTTTTCACCGGGCGGTAATATCGTCGGATTTTTGCATGGAATCAATGCACAATATATTTTTCTATTACAATTTACTATTTGCAGATCCCCAATTAACCGCTAGTTAATGTTTTAAAGCCCGAAAGTAAGAAATCACCCAGGTCCGAAAGATGAGACCGTCATGACATGTACATTGTAAGCTGGTATTTACGCTTGAAATACATCAACAAAGAGATCAAACGGGTCGAACTCACATGCAAACAACTGGATTTTACATACTTTTAAATAGTTTTATCCTCCACGAATCGAACTTAGTCCTATGAGCCTGTATTTAAAGAAATATCCTACATGTAGACGATATTTTTAGAAGGTAATTCCCACCGGAAGTATTCTCCGGCTTCCGTTTCACATACATTGACAAAGAGCGGAACAGGGAACCAAGCACGTGTTGCGGAGAACACTTCCGATTTAGGAATTACCTTATACCTGTAGTATTTTTCTTAAAATACGGGCACATAGGACTTAGTGCCACTCGTGGAGGATAAAACCAATTAAAAGTATGTAAAATCCAGTTGTTTGCATGTGAGTTCGACCCGTTTGATCTCTTTGTTGATGTATTTCAAGCGTAAATACCAGCTTACAATATACATGTCATGACGGTCTCATCTTTCGGACCTGGGTGATTTCTTACTTTCGGGCTTTAAAACATTAACTAGCGGTTAATTGGGGATCTGCAAATAGTAAATTGTAATAGAAAAATATATTGTGCATTGATTCCATGCAAAAATCCGACGATATTACCGCCCGGTGAAAAATTTTAACACAGATAACCGGCGTACCCATAATTTTCGTACCTGAATGTTGCATACCTTGTCAATAATAATATAACAGTGAAAAAAAAAATTAAAAAAAAATTTTTTTTTTTTAATATATTGATATTTTATTGTATAAATAACAAAGTCAAACACAAAATAGGTTTTTTTTTTGTTTTTTTTTTTAAACAAGGTCAAACACATTTTAATTAGGTCAAATCAATGCCACTAGCACCTGTGATTACTCCTATAACGTATTTACATAGTTGCTTCCCATAGAATTTAATTAAAAAAAAAACAAGTAATTCATAGGATATTTTTATATTATCTTAAGAAATCTTTATCATGTCTTCTTAAATCCACCAAAAAAAAAAAGTTAACTGGTGCAAATTAACATTGTACGTATAAATGAGTCAAATGTTTGTTGATTTTATATAATGGTAAAGCATGCATTATGGCACGAATTAAACATGCATATGCACGTGCTATAGTTTCTTTCGGGTGATAACTGTCAGGTACAGTTTGAGTAATTGTTTAACAGCCAGATCCTTCACCTGATGCGGAGATGTTTTATCTCTAGGTATAGTATACGAGCTTTTCGCGAAAGATTTCCTTTCTCTTAATGTTATAAAAAGTCACATGTTGCAGTGCTTTTTCATCAATTTTGATATGTTTTATGTATATATGTATGCTTAACTAATAAACTATGTAAAGCCTGCATAAAGATAACCTTTCGTGAATCATAATATCATGAACACCTAATCGCAACTACTCGGCCCTTTCCGTTAGACTGGTCCCCTGCGCACTTCCAGCGAATGCAGTTATTTCATTGGTTAATTAATCGATACATGTAAACAAATATGGCTGCCGGTGGCTGAAGAGCAAGAGAAATTTAGTAATATTTCTGTTATTTTTACTTTTTCGAGAGGTTATATTTGCGAAATTTATTTTCAAAACCGTAATATGTTAAATACGTAAAGGCATAATAGATCTAATAATGAATACATGAGAGGACTGTTTGTTTTAGCCTCTGTTGGTTATAATTAAATGTAATCAAAGCCATTGATTAAGATCCGTCCTATAAATTTAACGATTCGACCAATAATATGAAATGATTTCGAGACATTTCGGCCCCAAGACGTATCGGCCCCAAATTACCCAAGATTTTTCCCGACATTTCGGCCCTTTACCAAATCGGCCCCATATTTAGTTAAAAATAAGTTTTATCGTGTTTTATACCAGAATTTTAATGGAAGTGGCTAGCCGTACGGGCCCGTACGGCTAGCCAAAAATTCTAGCCGTATGTGAGTCATGAATGACTAGCAAAGACAATGTGTATTGGCTAGCCGTAGGACACTTTTCAAAGTTATATGGAAGTCGAAAATGCATATGTCATTTTAGCAAACTAGTCAAATCGGCCCCAAGTCAGATCGGCCCAAAAATTAGTCAATTCGGCCTCAAAATTAGTCAAATCGGCCACACAACAATTTTAAAAAGTCAAATCGGCCCCAAAACTAGTCAAATCGGCCCCAAAACTAGTCAAATCGGCCCTATTTAAGTTATTTTTAATTTTTTATGAAAATTCTATTTTGGTTAAAATAATGTTATTTGCCAAATATTACAAGGTTATTAACTGAGAATTGCACTTTAAAGATCCTGTATGTTTTGTAATTGAGATTGCATATGTATGTATGTATGTTCTTCCGGGCACAAAAAGCAGCGATTACCACAACTTTTCCGCGCAATGTCAAAATACCATCCTTCTGACCGAGACACCGTATATTTCTGGACAAAATATTAATGGCGGGATAAACAAATTCCAGGTTATAGCTTACAAAATATCTTACTGCTGGACATTGCAAGATTATTCAAATTGTTTAAGTATTCCATCGAATTTTTGAGACAATATTTCGTTAATCTAGCACAATACAATTCACAAAAAAACACATGCTTCGAAGAAATAGTGCTTACAAAAGATCGTGTGTACCTCAACATGACTCGTACCTGTCACAAAAACGTGTGTTATAACGACGATGTCTTTGTTCTATGTCCTAACGAGCTCGTATATTTATTATGGTTAACCCTAAGTTCAAGTTCCATTCAAAATTGTGTGTTTCTATCGTAAATTTCAGGGAATATATGTTGAAAAAAGACCTACTGACCCTAATATTGGAGCACCGTACAACACTGAATTCAAACACCGCATTCTTTTTCCGTTAGACCGATAAATACTTGCCAGACCGATAAATACTTGCCACCGTCTTCTTTTGAATTATGCAATCTTCATACAAATATGTTTCATTTGATGAAAGATTGTTTACTTGCTGTTACGTTATGTTGCTGTTATCATACGTTATGTTATGGAAAATTTCAGAAGGTCTGATCTGTGTTAATACTACCACCTGTACGAAATTTTACTCCTGTAATTTTGCCTAAAATACACCTGTTTTTCTGTTAAAAATTACAGCTGTATTTTTCTTCAGTTTTGATAAACATATAGCAAATTACACCTGTTTTTTTCAAAAATACACCTGTTTTACACCTGTACTATGAACGAAATATGTAAATTAACTGTTTTTTTCTACGGGTCGAAAATACAGTTGTACTGTTTTACAGCTGTTTAAAATACAGGTGTAAAATTTTACAGGTCTAAAAATACAGGTGTAAAATTTTTCAGCTCAAAAATACAGGTGTAAAATTTTACAGGTCAAAAATAAAATACAGGTGCCCTTATTGTTTAAGGGATGAAAACCACACATAAATGCAGACATATTTGGCATGTTTGGTGCAAATATCTTTTTCATTGGGATAAATACACTTTGGTCAGAAATGTTGTACATTTGTTGCTACTCAATCTTTAAAAATAAGAAATAGTTGAGGAGAAAATATCTTTTTACAAGATAAAGGTACAAATAGCAGACATTATACAATCACAATAGTTCACAATGGCACTCTGTGCTAAGGTGAGCGGAAATATCACTGAACTAGAATCACTATCACTAAAGATGGGGATATATATAACAAATTTTCACTTTGTCTTAAATGGATTACTATATTTTATTACATTCTGTTACAGTCTTACACTACTGATACTGCATCAATAAAATCCAAGTCATGAATAACACTGCAGGCATATCCTTTCATTTGAAAAAATATTCACAAATGCTAATAAAGTTTTTTTTCTTGTAAAAATTTATTGCCAGTATTTGCCAAATTAATGTCTACATATATAGGTACTTGGAATAAAGCCTTTGCAAGTGTTTTCTCTTCTTAACTGGTCCCTGTCATTGTGATTTAAGATCCTGTTTAAAGCAGCTTCACCTGAATCAAATAAAACATCAATAGTTTATCATTAAATGAATACTAAATGATAATCATGTAACTTTCAATGCTTGCATTTTGTACTAATGTCATCAATGCACATAATAAATAATTATTCAATGCCTGACCAATTCATTTTTTAAATACGTACCAATTAACTTCAACCTATATAATTATGTTATAGACTTATTTTGTTTAACCATGAATTTCTGTCAAAACTATTCTAATTAGTTCAACTACAATTTCGTTTTACCATGTCTGTTTTAGTCCTTTGCTTTGTTTCATGTAGATCAACGTCTCTGGGGGGTGTACTGTGACCTTTAAGAACAAAATTCATAGTTCATCATAAAAGATATGAAAATGAATTATGACCTATTAATTAGAAGTTAAGTATAAATGTACTATTTAATATCATCTCTTCAAGACTGTATTTAAAAATATAAAGCAGTTAACAGTCAATTTTGTAGTATCTAATTAAATGCTATTGGTGACAAAATTTACATTTAAAAATTATTTTCCAACTGGGTAAATAGAATGTAAAATATTATTTTTTTCAGAATAAAGTTGATAAAAATAATTGCTAGCAGACCTGAAATAATACTTGTTTTTTGCATAAATGTATCCAAAGGTTATTACCTGATTTTTTATGATTCTGGTTTTCATCTTGTCCAAGATTCAAATTTCATTTGCAACCAGCATATCCCATAATCCAGAATATTGTCATTTTCATTAACAAGACTGTAGCCTTGATTTTTTTCTTTGAAAAGTTTAAGAATTTACACCCAAACATTTTATACAATATATTGCCTAGAAAATTGCTTATATCTCCACAATTTCTTAATTATCAATAAGATCCTTTGTGATACATGAGCACTTTTTCCACAAATACCTCAGATTTCAAATTTTACAACTGTAGAACTGGACTGATTCATCATGCATAATGTTAAACAGGGATATTCCACAAATCAAAGCACCCATCATTTTACTTTCACAATCATATAGACATATCAGAAAAAAAAGTGTAATGTAGAATTTCAAATTCATAATAAGTTTTTAAAGATAACTTTGCAATTTCCTCCAAAACAGACTTCATTTAAAATTTATAAAGTTGTTTCCCCCCAGAAAAAATCAAATGGAAGAGTCTGGACTGTAGTGGGAAAACAGGTGGTTACCATTATCAGACTGGTCAGTGCAAGGTGTAAAATCAGTCCGTTGTGTAAAATCATTGTAGAGTAGTAGAGGCAGTGTTTATTTATTTATCCTACTTAACAGGTCATTTATATTACAAACTAGATTGAGAAAGCTTAATGTATGAGTTTATTTCATACACAATTAACTTTACAGAGTGAAGAATAACTCATAATGTCTGCAAATTTGGAGTCTTGAATAAGAACATGTACCAGTTTGTTGTTGTTATAGTTTTTGTTGTTGTTCTTTTTATACTTAAAAGAACAACAAGGACAGGCCTATGTGAACTATCTCATATATTTTAAAACTAAATAATCATATACAATGTACATGTATATTCAAATTTAGATAGCACTCTTAGTTCAAAGTTGCTTACATTATGAATGTTAAAAATTAAATCCTAAGTGTAAATAATGTGCATGCAGTCTGTACAATTGCATCAAAGATATTAAAGTATTTAAATAAGAACAATTTCTCTAAAAGATTTTCTAAGTGTGTATTGTACATCTGTATCATTGAAAATACAGTTGTAGTTTTGGACTTAGATTATTTTCAGCACAAAATATCAGCTCAATATTTTCTAAGTATCAGAATTACATGTGTACATCTAAAACACAGGTCTTGTCTCAAAAATACACCTGTAAAATTGTTAAAATACACCTGTATTTCTTAGTCAAAATGTCAAATTCAGCAAACACAGGTCCCTAAGACCTGTATTTTTACAAAAACAGGTGTTTTTCAGTCGTTTTACAGTTGTAAAACAGGAGTTTTTTTCGTATGGGCAGTTATAGATAAGTGCAATGGTATCTATATATAGATAAGGATGTCTTTTCCTTTTCCAACTTATTCAAACTGATAAACCCCACATGGAAGAATTGAAGTTCTTGGCAGACTATACCATCTAACAACATCGAGAAAAAAAAAGGAATGAAATATTTTTTAATGGGAATTTCTTATTGCATACTAATTTGATAAAGTTGCAAAAGTCATAACAAAAATTTTCATGGTGTAGTTTTTGCAGGAACCCGGGCAATATTTCCATAATCTCTTCAGTCATGGTCTCCAATGTGCTTTTATTAAACAATCTTTTGCGAAAGTTTGACTTCATATTCTTTTTCTTATGTGGTGCGTTAAGCATATCGTCCTGAAATACAGGGAGGCGCTGATCCATTGGCGTACTGCTGATATCAGAAGACTTAGTTGGGCGCTCTCCAGTTGCTGCAGTATCTGCAGCTTTGCAAATTTCGCACGTGGATTTGGCTTGTTCAGACATAGGTTTGAACGTCTTCTTTTTCTGAAAGCAAACATTAATATCAAAAATAAACGGTGCTAAAAAAAACAGAAAAATGCGGTGATTTTAAGGAGGAAGAATGCGGTGCCCTAATC